AAGGCAAACTGACTTGTTTAAAAGAGTGAGAAATAAATAAACACGTAAACATCGAAGGACATCTAAAACGTTAAAATCTTATTAGCAATTTTAAAGTGTGAATATTTTGCTTTTGTACACACCATTTCTCCATTGAAAAAAATAATAAGCGATGAAGTTGTCTCATTCGGCTTTTTCTTTTCTTTTTTTGAAGTGAGTCCTGGCACTTGCAACTAGAGACAATTTAGTAAAATTATTTTACTGTTATTCGATAGTTTATTAGAGCGTGAAGAAGATAAAGAAAAGAATCAGTTTCATTGTTTTCCTTATTTCGTGTGTGATAGGTAGACTTGTCTCTCGTTCATAAAAAGAAAATTTACTGTCAATGTTCTTAAGAATAGCTAGTTCTTGTTATAAGAACCTAAAGCACGATGAAGAAGAAAAAGAAAGGTTATGTCTCCTCACCGGAAATGATAGAACAAAAAGGTTTTTTAGACGAACACAAACACATAAAAAAAAACGGTTATGTATGTATTTGTGCTTCCAACGTCAGCGTCACAATCATAGTAAAGAAATCTTTTTTCTTTTGTTTGTGTCACTGAAGCTAGTATTAACGTATAGAGAGTATGAAGTTTTTCTCAATTATTTGCTCAACAACAGAACAGAAGAGAATCAGCAAAAGTGTGAGCGAGAGAAGAAAACATATTGGACTTTTTTTTTTTAAAAGAAAATCCCTTCTCTTTGTTTGTTCAATCTGTAAGACGAATATAAAGCCAAGAGACGTATAGTAACACAAACTATAGTAACTTTTACCGATTGTAATTATTATGCTTCGTTAATTTAGGAAAAGATTCATTTTTTATTTTGAATATGATAACAAATGATATTGCATGAGAAGAGATTGGTTTAAATTGATATTAACCAACAAAAGGTATCTAAGTTCTAACTCGATAAAAGTAGATTAATCTTTTAGATGAAAATCATATCTATATTTGTAGAAAATATTTTGACATGTTTATTATTTTAGTTTTTTTTCTTTTTCCTTGCGATAGTATAACTAATTTGAACTGTTATAGTTCCAATTATGTTCAGGATGTGAGTGTTCTTAATGTTAGCCAATAGTAATGCGAGATTATATTTTTGTATTACATTGGCTAACAAGATTATAGCTTGTATTAATATTACTATATATATTACATTATGTTTTGAGCTTGATTGTCTCAGAGAAAAAAAATGACAGGATTCTATTTGAACAAGTAGAGCAACAAGCTAATTATCCTCTGTATTATATGCCGTTTTGTATTCTCTTCCTATTTTAGATCATGTGTCGTCTAGAAGAGAAAATTTAAGCTAATGTTGTTAACAAGAAAATTGACGAAAGATTATTTTTTATATATCTAATGCTAAACACTAATAAAACAAAATATTGTTCTTATCGAAATAATATTAATGTAATAATAAAATATGTTTTTATATAACAATCAAATAAATAATATTACAATCTTACAACACATTTTCTATACGCCGACGACGAATACTTTTTCTATTTTTCACATCGTCATCATCATCGTTCTTTAGCGTAGCTGAGTTTTCCATCAGATATAGAAAAAATGATTTCGATTATCGACGATGCCTTGATTAACCTTAAACGTAAAGGAAAAAGAAGATAAAATAAAATATAGTTAAATAAATTTATTTACTCGATTATCGACCCGATTATTCTACAAATTTTTATTTTTTATTTTTTTGATTTTTCGAGTAAACAATTATATGGAAAATCAAACATTTTATTAACTAAGGTGAGTATAGATCATTTGTTTTCAAAACAATAAATTATTATTTACAGTAAATTTACAAAATATTCGGTGAAAACGCCGTTTACTTACAAAGAGAGAAAGAGACGTAAAAAAAATCATTATAAAAATTACCATAAACTTCGAGTAGGACCAACTGTTTTTAGATTGAAACGGGCTATTTTCTTCTCAAAAACTAATTGTTTATTACATTTTATTTTAATTAAAAATTTTAACGTAAAATCTTGTTAGAGTCATGTAAAACAAATGTAATTTTTATATTTACTAATTAAACATTATAATCATAAATTTATAGTGAGTTTAATCATCGATTTTTAAGAGACTATCATTTTTTTTTTTCTATCCAGGGATAAAAGTCAATTTTGAGTATAAATTTTAATTCTCCTCTGTTCATTTGAAATAGATGACAAGAAGATTTACAATTGCTTATTATCTATTTCTTATGCTCAAAAATGCCAATAATCTTAGTTAATTAATTTTATTTTTTACGGCATTTTGTTTTTACAGACGGTATGACGAACAAATATTCTGTAGAAGAAAAAAAAAAAAAAAAGAAGTAGAACATCAAGGCATCTTTTTCTGTTAGAATTTATAATTTACTTTTTGATTATTGAGTTTTTATCAACATTCAACAAGATTTTGTTTTTTATTTTTTTCATACATTTAACTACTAATATTGAACGAAATAATCTCTCTCTTCTTTCTTTTTTGTATTTTCTATTTTCTTGTGTGAATATTTTCGTTTACACATTCTAATAACAGAAGAACAATATTAACATAGAAAACATATTCTATCTTTATTAGTAATTGATACATTATTATTTTAATGTTTTCAAGATTATAGTAAATGATTTTTCAAAAAATATATTCTATTTTGATTTTGAAAATCAACAAAAAAGTTGACTTTAGCTTTTTTAAAAGCATAAAAAAAATAGAAAAATGAAATGAACATATCTATGATGGAAACCGGGAACATTTTCTCTTTTGATACATTATCAAAAAAAGTAATGGAGCTGAGTTTTTCTTTTTGTTATTATTGTTAAAATATAACATTTTCTTTGTCCGTCCCATTTTGTGCATGTCACGTACAGATCGATTGTTTTTGTATGCATGTCAACTTTGAATTAATATTCTCTAAGTAGAAAAACAGTCATAATGAGAGAGAGAGACATACGCAGAGATATTTTTTTTATACGATAAAAAAATACTCACAAAAACAATTAGAGTGTTTAACTCACCTTTGCAACTAATGTGAGAAATTTATTAAAATATAAATACTTATGAACCTTTGAATTGAACATTTCTTTTCTTATACTATCACGAATTTTGTATGTTCTTATTTTTTCTTTTGTGTATGATCTGTTTGTTAATTATCAATTATAGTCTTGTTCATAATAAATTTCTCATAAGACTATTGTAAAAGGCAAAGAATAATAGGAGAAAAACAGAAGAAAAGAAAAGCACAAAATAATACTATACAGTTTCAATTAAACTCTGTAAATTTTTTTTTTTTAAGCAAATGATCAACATAACAGAGAGAGAGAGGGAGAGCTATTTGGCTTTTACGAGAGTGCATAATATATATATATTATATATACATTCTTTTGTTGATAGTGTTATTATTCTTTAATATAAATAATATTCGCTATATAAATTATATAGCGCTTGTTTGTATTATGGATGAATGAAAGACGAACTGCAGTCTAATTGATGTTCGAAAAAAAAACCTATATATCTAGTCAAACTAAAAGAAAAAAAAAAAAAAGAAAAAAAAGAAAGAAAGACCAGATTAACATAGACAACAAAAAAAATCAAGAAACATGATTGCTATTAAAAGCATTTGTAGCACTTAGTGTGGAACTATTGGCGCATATATACAAAACAATGTTACTTCTCTTGTATTGTATGACTGATGAAAGGAAGAGTTTTTAGAGAGTCAAATATTAGCTGATATTTAAAAATAATAATCTGTCCTTTAAATGAAAAATTAAAGATCAAATAGAGAGCTACTTTCTATGCTTATTGTATATTGTTTAAACTCCGGATATTATTTTTAGTACAAAATTGTGACTGTTGACTTGCTTCATGTTGGTTAATCTTTATTCTCTTCTTTTTTTTTTTTTTACTGTATCTAAGATGAAAATAAAGATATGCGAAGTAGAGTATTTTATTTTAAAAAATGCAGTTGTTAATAATCTTAATTACTTCCGGCGATAGACGATTTTGCTTGAAGCCCTTTTTTTTGTTGCTGTTATCTTACTTCTCGTATTATTTCATTATTTTCCCTTTCCATCTAGGAAAAACACGTAGACAATGTTGAACGAGATTCTAGTTTAAGAAGTTCATAAACATTTATAATCTAAAATATTTAAAATAAAAAAATATAAAAGAAATGAGAGAGATTTTTTTTTCCCCTAGAATAAGCTTATCCAAAAATATCCTTTTATTTTTGTTCTCGTATTTTTCGTGGCCATGTGGGAAGAGATTTCCAAAGTACAGCCATCGGAAAAGCTCGCTATATTCTTGTATTTCTTTCGAATAAATAGCAAGTCAGAAAATAGAAATGTCTTTTTAAGAATGGTAATGAAGATAATAGCAAGAAATGTATATGGAAAAACGAGTAAACGTTTTTTATAAGAAGAAGTTCATATTTTTTGATAAAATTTTGTCTTTTTTGCTCTAGACAATATGGCAAGTGTTGCTGCTTGGCTTCCATTTGCTAGAGCAGCTGCTATTGGATGGGTACCATTAGCTAAAAACCCATTACCACCACCACCATTTCGAATTCCTCCACAAACATCATCTTCACCATCAACATCGACAACATCAAACGGAACAAGTCCAAACGAAAGGAGGTGTGATGAAAAAATTATAATTAATGTCAGTGGTAGACGTTTTGAATGTTGGCGTTCAACATTAGAAAAATATCCTGATTCACTATTAGGATCAAATGAAAAAGAATTCTTTTATGATGAAGGTAATTTTTGAAATTTTATATGTCAATAGATTGAATTATAATAATTCTTCTAATGTTATTTAGAAACTAAAGAATATTTTTTCGATCGAGATCCTGACGTATTTCGAATTATACTAAACTTTTATCGTACTGGTAAACTACACTATGCTAAACACGAATGCATAGCGGCTTATGACGAAGAACTCGCTTTTTTCGGTATACTACCGGATATTATCGGTGATTGTTGTTACGAAGATTATCGTGATCGTAAACGAGAAAATCAAGAACGTCTTATTGACGATCGTCTACACGAAGATGAAGATAAGGCACAGCCTCAACCAAAATCAGCGCGTGAATCGATGTGGCGAGCGTTTGAAAATCCAAATACTTCTACAATGGCATCTGTTTTCTATTATGTGACAGGATTTTTTATTGCCGTTTCGGTAATTGCAAATGTTCTTGATACGATTGCTTGTGGACCAAATCCTGAGACCGGTTATATTTGGTCATGTGGTGAACGTTTTGGTCAACAATTTTTTTGTCTCGATACTGCTTGTGTTATGATATTTACGGTAGAATATTTTCTTCGATTGTATGCTGCACCTGATCGTTTAAAATTTGTTCGTAGTGTTATGAGTGTCATTGACGTTGTCGCTATTATGCCATATTATATCGGTTTATTTATGCCAAAAAATAAAGGCGAAGTAAGCGGCGCTTTTGTGACGTTGCGTGTATTTCGTGTATTCAGGATATTTAAATTTTCTCGGCATAGCCAAGGATTACGTGTTCTCGGTTATACGTTAAAAAGTTGTGCGAGTGAACTCGGTTTTCTATTATTTTCGTTAACAATGGCCATTATTATTTTTGCTACTGTTATGTACTATGCAGAGAAAAGTGTAGTGCACACAAAATTTACAAGTATACCAGCAGCCTTTTGGTACACAATCGTTACAATGACAACACTCGGGTATGTATTTAAATTTAAACTCATTTTTATATAGCTTAAAGTCGAACATTTATGTATAATACATTATCGAATTGAGAAATAAGTAAAACTACTTTTTCTTTTTTATAGTTTTAAGTTTAAAGAAGCTATCGGAGTAAACATTTTGAGATACGATCATGATGTTTTTTACAGTCCTATTGATAGCGAATAACATACAGGATCATACTTTTATTCTTCGTATGCAAGGTCAATTCTAAAAATGATCTATTAAAAAAATTTATTCTTGGTATTATCATATAATTTTTTCAGTTAATTCACTCATAACTTAACATCATAATTAATTCAGCACTAACACTAATTGTATGCATGTATTGTGTAAATTGAGATTATTTTAATATTGTGAATAGAAGATCAAATAATTGTGATACGTTAAAATCTGTTAGTAACGGACGTATCTTATACAATATTATTGAATTAACATTATTGTGCGCATATTGATAAATAAAAATAGAATGTATATTGTCTTGAATAAATATATGATGCAAATATACGCTATTTTTATTAGACGTATTACAGTCAATTTAATCTATTATAAATACAGTTAAACACAGACACAGAAACATATTATCTATAATATATGTTTTCATTCTACAGATAACATTTAAAAATAGATTTCTCTACGCATTGAATGCTCTTATGATTGATAATAATTTTCTTTTATTAAGTATAAATTTCATACTAGTTTAGTTACAGTTGACTCATGTAGGATGCCAATTTTTAGTTTAATTTATCGTAGGTTACTTTGTTCCCATGTAATGGGAAGATAGGTGATGCAGATTATTAAAAGAAAAAATTAAAGAATAAAAAATATTGAGAACAATTCAATGTATGAACATTTCTTTAAGATCGAATTAATTTGAAAAGCCTAAAACTACTAATGAACTGTAAGTATAATATTCTATCTTCTAGATACGGTGATATGGTTCCAAAAACATGGACGGGCAAAATTGTTGGAGGTGTGTGTTCATTGAGTGGAGTATTAGTCATTGCATTACCGGTTCCAGTCATAGTATCAAATTTCAGTCGTATTTATCATCAGAGTCAACGAGCAGATAAAATGAAAGCGCAGCGAGTAAGTGTCGCAAAAAAATTAAAATAGTAATAGATCTGTATGATAAGAATTAACTTGTATCTTTAGAAAATGCGTCAAACACGAATTCGTTTAGCTCGTAATGCGACAAGTAATGCATTTGTGGCAGCAAAACGTCGACGTGAACAATTTTTACTTGATGATAGTCAAGATCGAATAGCATTGATAAACCCATTTGAACTCCAACATCATCATTTATTGCATTGTTTAGAATTAACAACCGTAAATAGAAATATACAATAATATGTATATTATATCGATCTATACTTTATTTCAATTTAGGATCGTGAGTTCGTTGAAATGGGTCCTGATACTTTGATGAGTAGTGGTGGTGCGGGTTCTTTATCTGTGAGAGGACGTTACGTATCACATCCGTCCAATTTTTTGCTAAACAAGAAAAAATGGTGGTGTTGTAAAAGAAAAACGTCCTACAGACAGAGTGTAAGAAGATATTGATATTTATTTATTCATGTTTATCCATAATAATTTTTAGTTGTTAAAAGTTTTAAAATATTTCGACTACAAACAATTCAAAATAATTTAACAGGATTCTTAAATTAAAAAATTGAATTGTTCAGAATCGTCTGAAGAGTTTTTTTATGGTACTTATCTCTCAGAATTATCAGTAGTATAAGTTCTTTAGAAAAAAAGTATTAATAGTTTAGTTGTTCGGTACTCTGATTGTGTTCTATAGGAAAAAATTCTAAATCATTATTTTCTGAAGTGATCCGATCCTGGTGAATATACTTGAGCCAAATATTTGCACAAGTACTTAGGCTAAGTAACGAGGACAGTACTTGTGGACTTTTCCAAGTAAATTTACTTGTCCGGGCACTTGGCTAATCCAATGCAAGTAAATTTACTTGAAAAGCTTCGGCCAAGAACCCATTTATCTTTATTTTGTACGCATTCTGCAGTCGTATTCTACTTTTGTAGAGTGCACGCATGCATCCGATACTAAGTTTGTTCAACTCAGTAGAAATATCTACATTTATTTTCTCAGTTCATACTAATTGATATTGTGACGTTTATATGCAACTTGTTAATGCAGAACAAGAAAAGAGTGATTGACTCGTTCAAGTACTTGGCTGAAGCGAATCAAGTGATGATACTTAGCGAGTACTTAGACAAGAACTTGAGAAGTAACAACACTTGCCTTTTTGTTTAAGTGCTTAATAAATGAGAAAACAAGTCAAGTACTTGCCAGGTATTCGGGAAGTAATCAACTACTAGAGAAGATCTTCTAATTAATCCTGTCTCATGGATCAAAAGGTATATATTTCTTCAACTGAAAGTCCCGTGTCACACAAAAGAAATGTCCGCCGTACACTAGTAACAATAGCGACACAACAACAATAAATTTACGACAGGAATATACAGGAATCCGTGTATTAATCGAGACAAAGTTAAAGACAAGAAAATAAAGATACCTTGTTCCTCATACACTATACAGGTTTCCTTAGTTACTGTACACCTATCAGTGAAATAATTTTCATACTTTAATTAATTTGGTCTGTTTTTGGATTACACGATAAAAAGTTCAGAATGATCGGTGATTATTTTAAGTTAATAAGTTAAAATGGGGTAGAGGTATGCCAAAAGCAAACTGTAGTAGCAAGCAATTCACAGACGGACAAGTGCGGTTACTTCTGAGTCAAAGTCAAGTTCGTCAAAAGATTTGTCAAATTCGGACTTGGACTTGTTCATCTGCAATATACTTGTGTGTCCATTTCCACCTCTTTTATATGTCGTATATTTCACACGCATTCTTTCTTCCTTTATATGCAGTTCGAAAAGCGAGATGATATCGTCTTTATGTTTATATTCCGATATATCTTTCTTTTTGTCTCTTCTATAATAAAAACCTCTTCCGAAAATAAGAACTTGCCGATCTTCGAGGCAATCTTTTAATTAACGTAAATAATTAAAAAACTGCATTGATTCTAGTCTATAGACTAGAATCAATTAAACTATTTCGATAACGAGATGCGTTAGTATACTAACGCATCTCGTTGCCAAAATGGTTGGACTATACTAATTTAAAGATAGACATGAGCCCAGTCTTAGCTCGAAGTTTGTTCTTAAACAACAGCAAAACGCATAACAGAGAGAAATGGTTGTCGAATAAAAAACGCATGACGTAAAAGCCCCTTCATTAGAAAAAAAGTTGTCTAACAGAAGTATCAACCTTATGTTTTCTTACATCTTTATTGAGGGTAAACGAATCTATCAGTTTTATTTCTACAATCGAAGATAAAGATCTTATTTTTACCAGCTGAAGTACAAGAAATCATTTACCTCTTTTGTTTCGCATATACCACTTGAATGTGACGAAGAGAAGATGAAAATTTTTTCATTTTTTTTTCTAGCCTACCTTAATGGTTCTATTTAGTATGACCAGCCTTGAAATTTAAACTACTATACAAAATAAGTCAGAAAAAGATAACATTCAAGAAAATGTCTTATTTCAAGATACATTTCTTTTTATAATGCCTAATTCCTTGCTACACGTGAAAAATTTCTGGATCCAGTACTGGCAAGAATGATTTATTCTCTCCCTCTTCTTTCTGTATCCTACTAATGATAAATTTGAGGTTAGTTTTACCCTTAAAAGAACAACAGAGTTTTGACGTTTAATGATGGTATTGTTTATTGAAAATCTCAGTCTATCAGCAACAGATTACTCTTGACTGAAAAGTACATGAATATTTAGTGTAATTCAACGATATGGGATTAACCCTTTATCTACCATGGGCCAACCCACGATCTATTCGTAGAGTTGTTATAAAAAGATAATGAAGCATGTGATAAAAAATGGATTGCTTTTGAGAACAAGGTAATTCCATGAGTTATCGATTGATAAGCGGGAGCGTCCTAAACTTTTCTTCACGCGGATATATCTCTTTTAATGTATTAAAACCACATCAGCCGTTGTCCAAGCAGCAAAATAGGTGCCATTTAAAGTATAAAGAGTAAATAATGATAGATAGGATTGAGAAACTTAATTGCGCATTCCTTTTAGGAAACGATTTATCACTCATTATATGAAAATACTTTTTTATTGTCTAACGAAACCGTAGCAGACAGCTTATTTCTTTCACTCTGGGCTCGACTTCTAACATTCCATTAGAACGAACATTTTTTCTCAAACATTTTAGTTTTTTAAGTTTAGTCGAATGCAACAAGCGAAAGTAAAAGAATCCAGAGTTATTAAGTGATTTTTTGTTGCATTCTCTCTGTTTCTTTGAATGAAGAGTGTAGAGAATTCAGATGAAATCATTATACTAAATAAGTTTGAACAAATATTGTGAAGCTCCTAATTAAATAACATTTTTAACCTTTGGTTTTAGCATGATCGTTCCGGTGCTCAAAATAATAATAATAATGGCAACAGTGACGAGGACGATGAGATTAAAGAACTGAATGATTTTCAAATGCCATTGTCGGCAACCCCATTAACTACAATTAATATCATTCCGATGAAAGAGAATCAACAAAATTCTAGTTCACGATTCAATAAATTAAATTTGTGTAATAAACAACAACCACAACAGAAACAAAATTTAAATAGAAAAGCTAATAGTCTTATTACTGTAACACAAGAAGGTGTTTACGGGAGTGATGGTCCAGCTCGTTCGAGTTCACCGATGCACACATTTTTAACACATAGTCGAAGTGAATCGTTTCGTTTAAGATCACCATCGAGTACAAGTGAGAGTACATATATAACAAATTCAGCGTATCATAATGAACAAGCGGTATGTAAACTACAGACAATTATTGATTCTATTATGTTTTAGAAGTGATGTTTTTTTCTTTTAGTAGGTGTGATGTTTGTTGGTTTTTGTTTGGATATACGTGGTACAGGATTATTTGAGAATCGTGGTGCGCGTAGTTTAAATATCAAAAGTATCTTCTGGGCACACGAAAGTTTACATGAACGTCAAATTGATTGATGTTTATAGATTGTTGTTTTTTTTTTTTGTTTTTTTTTTGTATGTTCATTTGTATATACTCAGTGTGTGTATAGTTTTTTGTATAAAGATGACAATCAACTATTTTCTAAAAAAATCCAAAAGATATGAGCCAAAATCACAAAAGATTTTTCTGTCAACGAATATTCGGTGTTATTATTAATTTATTTTATATTGTTTTTTTTCTTTTGTGTGCTTAAATGTGTACAAAAATTGCCGAGAGAAAGGGGGAGAGAATCTGTTCTATATTTATATCCGTTCTTCTTTCTTGTCGTTAGAAAGAAAGAAACAATAATAAAGTTACATGATAATATTTATTTTTTCTTACATCCATTTTCATTTTAAGTCGTAGCTACGCTCTGTAAATTGTAGAGAACTGAATTTCATGATAATTACGATCTTTTTACATTGTTACGACGAGGATGACTAAATATTCACGCTTGAATAGTATTAATGTCAGAGGCGGATACCGGGGAAAAAGGTCGAAAATTTTGCATTTCAGACCAAACTTGAATGATGAATAATTCAACAGGTTAACATACTTTGTAAAAACACCAGATGCTAAGGAATTTCATACTGTTTTTCTGAGAAAGAAGGAGTACAACTTAAGGGTACCCCCCCTCTTTTGCGACATCCCGTAGAAATGCTGTGAAATAAAATCTAAAAGTCGCTAGAACTTCGTATTTTCAGCATACGAAGCTTAAGCATTTTTTTGAGACATTTCTTTACCGAGTTATAGGGTTTTAAAATTGAAAAACTTGGTTTTTGAGATGTTTTTTAGTATTTTTCCTATAACCCGACCAGGAAATGTCTCAAAAGAATTTCCCAAAAATTACCCCTGCGAAATGACCTTAAGTATCTATGGTAAAATTTTGAACTCGATCGGACGAAATTTAAGGGGGGTCGTAATGGGGGACAATGAAAAACCGAGTTTTCTGAAGACTGGTGAACGACAATAGCTGAAAACTTGAAACAAAAACGAAAAAGTACTCCATTGAGTTTCCAATCAGTTCTGAAAATACGAAGTTCTAGCGACTTTTAGATTTTATTTCACAGCATTTCTACGGGATGCCCCAAAAGAGGGGAGGGGTATCCTTAAGCATTTACAGTATGTGTAAGAAGTATTCAGGCACTGTAAGAAGCGTCTCTTACGAGCTTATTACCTCGTAAAATAAAAGGAATTCGAAACTTATTTTTTTACCGTTCGATAGAGCGAAGTCTGCTCTACATTTCTGTCCACTTGAAGAAATTTTAATGATCTTAGATGAGTCTATAATGAGTCTTCTTTTACACTCAGTCGACTTTTGGAACGAAAAAAATATTCGGACACTTTCTTTTCTCTGTGGTTTTTGACATTTCTCAAATAGCGACGGATCTTTCAAATATACTATTCGAAAGAGCAAAGTCTCAACTGTCTGTTGAGAAAAGAATAATTCAAAAAAGAGCTCTCTAAAGGTCACAAAATTGAAAATTATGGACGCAACCACGAAATTCATTTAAAACGCATTCTTTGACCGTTAAACTTGATCAAAACTAAATATCTAAATATATCGTTAGTAAGAGCGTGAAAAGCTACATCAGAAACAATTATTAAACAAAAAAATTAACTATTTCTTCTGCGCATTTTAATTGATTTTCTAACCCTTCTAGTCATCATTTCTGGGAGACATCTATTATATTTTGTATTTTTTGCCTTAGATCTCTTCTCTAAAATTTTTTCGACGTAACAGGCTTAAATAAGACAAAATTTTGCACAAAATGATCTATTATTCGAGTTGAATACTTAAAGAACATCTGAGTTACACATACTATCTTTATCTCATCACTTCTCCCAAAAAAATAAATCAGACATTGCTTCTGTTGTCCACAGAATAAACGAAATTCTTGAAACGAGATAAAGATAGTATGTATAACTCACGGGGGAACCTTTTTAGATATCAAACTCTGATTTCAAGAATCCTTTGCCCATAGATCTTATATAGTGACCTAGCAAAAATCCTAAAAGGAGTTGAGCCCCCCTATTGCTTCATTCAAAAGTTATGAGTTTTTCTATTGTGCCGATACAGTGCATTACATGAAACATTGAAAAATTCATAACTCAGTGAAAATACGGTATGAAGGACTGAAACTTTTCCCGGTGGGAGTCCTAAATGTCTATTCTAATTGGAAAGTCCTTCATACCGTATTTTCACTGAGTTATGAATTTTTCGATGTTTCATGTAATGCACTGTATCGGCAAAATAGAAAAACTCATAACTTTTGAATGAAGCAATAGGGGAGCCCAACTCCTTTTAGGGTTTTTGCTAGGCCACTATATAAGATCTATGGGCAAAGGATCCTTAAAACCGGAGTTTGACATCTGAAAAGGTTCCTTTGTGAGTGTAACCGAAGGCTCATTATAGACTCATCTAAGATCATTAAAATTTTTTCAAGTGAATAGAAATGTAGAGCAGACTTCGCTCTATCGAACGGTAAAAAAATAAGTTTCTTATCTCTTTTACTTTACGAGGTAATAAGCTCGTAAGAGACGCTTCTTACAGTGTTTGAATACTTCTTACACATACTGTAGGTAGCAGTCATTTTTGTATTCGTTGTAGAAGTTCCACCAGCGCGAGACGAATATTTTGCATTTTCGCTTCAGAATAAGGTAATTTAGAAAATCGTTTACATATGTTAGGAATCTATTACAAATTTTCTAATTTAATATACAATAGCATTTGTTTACAGCGATACAATATATCAAAAGTTTAACACAGACGTAGTAAGAGCAAAATAAAGTAATAATGTTAGGTTAACGACCAAATTCACTGTTTAGCATTCATACTTTCTTAGACTTCTTCGCTTCTGTGTCATCATCAACATCTCGACATGGACTTGGACGTTTTACTGCTGTTTTAGTATCCATTGATTTTAATGTGTTTTGAAGTTTCACTAAACGTTCGTCTTGCTCACGAACTGTCTTTTGTAATGTGTCCCATTCTTTTTTTGACCTTGTAACCATTGTTGTTGTATCCTCCATATCCTCGTCTTCTGCGTCATCATCAAACACAATACCTTTATTTTTATCTTTGACAAAAAAACCATTGGTGTCATCTGTGGGTGATTGTGGTTCTTCCGGTTCAATCAACTCTTTTGTATCGATTATTTCCTCTTGTGCAGCACGATCCACTTCATCTTCTGACGCGTTTTTTGCTGGATGAGAATACATAGCTAAATGAACAGCACTTTTTCGAAAACATTGAGCTCCAAATGCACACACTTGTTTTGGCTTGTTTTCACCATTTGATGCGGCTGCTTTTGTGGATGATGGTGATTCTTTTTTTACCACATCTGATCCACTTGCTGCAGTTGAGGTTTTTGGTGGATGTTGAAATTGCTTAAAATGATCAGGATTGGTTCTGTAACATTTTGCTCCATATTGACATGGTTTTCTTGTATCTGCTGATGTTGTTGTAGCCGACGTTGATGGTGGTGATTTTGATTTTCCTGATTTTTCATCTTCATCTTCATCATCGGAAGTAACAATCTTTTTACCAGCTGTATCGCGTGATGGTATCACAGAGAACAACACAGAATGTTGTTTCGATAGTTTTGTGGATGGAATCACTTTTTGTATGCTAGTTTTTGGTGTTTTAGTTTTGGCTGATTCTAATACATCTGCCCATGTGAGGTCAGTTCGTGGACGAAGATACACAGGAAATCGTGGGTGTCCATTATTAGATAATTCTTGATATTTGAATGTAATGACACTACCAATTTTTGGTGGTTTTTTGCGCTGACTCATATTAAAACCTGAAAATATGATTTTTTAGCAAAAACCCTTGTTAGTATCACCCCAGGTAAGGCTAAAAGTGCGTAACGCCTCGGTGAGAACATCAGTGCTCCGGATAAAATCGGACATTTCGTCCAAATAACCGATATACAGTTTTGCTTGTTATAATGGTTATTAAATAGCAAGTATGAAAAGTTATCTCGCGCGACCACCAGTAAATTATGTAGACTTCAACTGCTTGAGAATAGCTGGGTATTTTGAAAAAAAGGATCTATCTAACGCTCACCTGATCCACAATCAAATCGTTTGCCATTTGGTAATTCACATTCAAGTGCTCCTAGCATTCCCGTGCAATTGCCTTTTCCCGGTTTATGACCAACAACAAGAGCTTCTATAAGAGAAAAAAAGATATAAATTGAGCAAGAAAGAAGTTGTACTCTATTATTAACCTTCATCATAAAACGTTTTCACTTTAAGCAAAGTACTACTTCGTTTGTTTTCATACAAGGATCCGGGTTTTCGAAGCATAATTCCTTCTCCACCAGCGTTGTTTACATCGGCTAAACATCGTTTCAGATGATCCATTCCTTCACATTTCTTTATACCAACAACTGTGGCGTAGCATTTGTCATCATTTTCTGGTATATTTGCTTTAAGAAATTTAACGCGATCTTCATATTTCCCGCCGTGACTTGGAGCATCGAATATCAAATAAGTTATCAATTTATAATCTTCTGGTACGACCTTATTTGCTTGTTTTTTTACAATACTTATACATTTTTGAAACAAGCCTCGTCCACACCTTAAAAAATTGAATGTATTTTCGTTGAATAGAAACGTTACAATTTTTTTAGTACATTCACGCACAAATAGATGATTGTAGATTTTTAGAATTATAGACATATAGATATCAGAATAGATTTTCAGAGCGACTTTTACTAAAGAAAAATGTGAGCTGAATAACATTACAGCTTAATCGAATTTTGGCTGACAGATCATGAGTTACTCTCTTCACCTTACCAGAGTTCACCATCTAATGGTACTTTTGGTAATTTTTCTTTAAAAAAATCTGGAACATGGAATAAATTGCCTTGTCGCGAGTAAAAGTTCGAACCACTCCAATATGCTCTAAACAAAGAAATCTAAATATATAGTACTCGTTTCCTAGTTTAACCAAAATGAAACCTTTTTACCTAACACCATCCAGTTTTTCACTCATCCACCAATCTGTTGGATCAATCTCTTCGCTCCATGTTTCCGCTAAAAGGACATGACTGGCTGCACTTGCCATAATCTGAAATTAGAAACAATAATCTATGGAAAAGTAAGAATACTCTATAACCCTTTCTTATATCATACGCGTAAAAGGGCAATTGCGAATACAGACGCACCAGATAATAATGAAAAATGATGGTTCCAACTCTTAGGAAAGAATAGCCGACTAAGTAACAATTGGTGGACTTAATCCTTTTTAGCAGAAAAATTCTTTTTCGTGCCCAATAAACCACTCGTACTGGCTCACTTTCTTGCGAGATTTTTGTCTTTTACCATTGTAGGCAAGAATCTTTGCAAATATTTCACATATATTTCTATATCAAGATTCACGCAAAAAGAATTTTTCTTATGAACTTAGTCAAGAATCGTGATTTTCTGTTTTCTGAATTTATAAGACAGAAATTTCAGCCAAGAATCTTGTCCTGAATTTCTTGCAAGAAATTTCATACAAGACAAATTCATCTGTTGTTCATTTTCAATTTTGTCTTGGCTGAAATGGCAAGAGACAAGAATCTTGTAAGAAATAGGACAAGAAACTCGACCAGTGCGTTCTCTGTTATTTCTGTTTTTATAGCTTTGTGGAAAAGATAGGTTGAATTTCTAGCAGTTGTACATTGAGTGTACTCAGGGGAAGAAAAGCTAAACCTAAACTTTTGTGATTGCACTTTTACGAAAAAATACCGGCACAGTTAAGAGATGTCTCACTAGATAACTAACAAATTACGGGGATACCTCTTTTCGCACATGCATATGTTTTTATTCTCTTTCTTTTCTATTGACACGATGAGACGAAAAAATGTGTCGCATATGGGATAATTTATGTGGGAAGAGATATCTCCCTGTTTGCTAGATTCCTAGTTTCTTAAAAGACTTTGCTGTATACCATAACTTTGTTTACGAAAATGTGTTAATTTTTAAAAGCCTCTCAAAATGTCGTGAAGTTGTATGGGTATAAGGAAAAAAAAATGCACGTTGTGACCGGATTTAGAAGTAATAGAAAAGGAAAGAAAATAAGACTCTCGTGTATTTTTTTTGTTAATTAATAGAGTATGAGTAAAGATGTTTTATCCAGATTGACGGGGCTAATTGTGTTCTACTCCATAAACTAAGAATTTTCTTAAAATGTTGAGAAATCACTTTTAAATTTAGAAAATACTAAACTTGAAAAAAACGACCTATAATCAAACAAGGTCGATTGACTCTAGATATGACAATTTTTCTCTTTTTTTCTGTTCTGTCAACATAAAACGGTAATGTGGCTACAACGTCTCTTTTACAGCGTGGCATGCGTGTTTTATCCTGTCAATGAAGAAAGAAACTCTTGTAATATTTCCAACTTCTATATAGTATCTATTACTTATTTTTGTATTCGTAGATCAGCTTGAACATTTATAAACTCAGCTAAATTTAAAACATTTACTGCAGGAGATCTAAGGTTTGTTAGATTCCATAAAAATATACTAAAATGATGTAAAGCTAAAGACGATTTGTCCTTTGTGAAGCCTAGAAGACTAAGAGAGTAAAGTGAATTAGAGAGAAAACATATTAGCACTATTTGGTATTTTTTCTTCAACATTAAAAATTTCCACAGAGGTGTTGTTGCGAATGCTATAAGCTGCAATCCAGTAGTATAGGTAGGATTTGAGGAGCAGAGTTGCTGTCTTTAGAAGGCCGAAAAGCAGAAAAACAAATCTGGAAAATTCTAAAAAAGCGGACAAAGAGCAAAAAAATTTTTTTCGCGTCTTGATGCGTTTGTAAGGGAAAAAACTATTAATAAAGATGCATAAAGATGCATTTTCAAATTAGCAGATACTGGAAGAGTAATGATGCACTTTATGGACGCACTTATAAAAGAAAGAAATGTTACCAAAAGTGATAGTATTCAACCAAGAAAGGAAAATGAAAAGGGCGGAAAATGTTGAGAAAGCAGAATTTTGCGAAAAGGTGGGAACTACGGCGTGAAGTCTACGCAAAAATTTAAAATGCGAAAATATTTATTTTTTCTAATTTTAAATGTATTAAAAACAAGAAGTGAGACAAAAAGAAAAGTGATCGTTCTCCCGATTGGCTCTAGGTATCGACAAATATCAGACGTGCGTTATTTTGATTTTTGTCTTACTACGATTCTTCTATTGAAATCAAGTAATTTACTACTTACATTTAAATAATATTAATTGTGATAATGGTGAATGTAAGATCAATTAATGGTTGTCTCGTTCTAAACGTTTTATTTTTTCAGTAAGTAATAGTAGACTGGTATAGCACTATATATAAGTTTTTCTGTTGTTGTAAAAAGTAGGAGGCATGTTTATGTATTTCACAACAGGTATTGAAGATTGAGCAAGTCAGTTTCATTTTCGTGTATAAGAGGGAAAAAATATTTTTAATAATTGATGTTATATAGATGAGAAGAGAATGAATTTACCTTTGCGGTCTACACAGACAGCCATATTACAGGCACCCATAAAATGAGTCTGCAGCAGAGTTGCCTGGTGCTCAGGCCAGAAATGCGGAATAAAAATTTCAAAACGCGGAAAATTATGTCAGAATGCGGAAAAAAATGGAAACGCGCTTTCATGCTCTAACTTCATCCTTTTTCATACACAGAGAGTCAAAAAATGTAGTAGCATGTATGGTGAAACAAAAAATCAATGATTTTACTTAATAAAACATAAGAGAACACAAACAGAAATGTAAATCTCAATTTTAATTGACACGTTATTTTTTGACTGTATATTTTTGATTAAAATGAATAAATGTAAGCAGTTTCTGGCGTTAATAAGAAATAATTATAAATTTCAGTGCATGATAACGATGAGTTTAAACAAATCTTTAACTCAGTGGAAAAACAGTAATTATATCATTATATTGTATCATTATATTACCAACTCATCTGCGATTCGCTCGGTCCCTGACTTAACACATTGACCACTACTTACGCCGTAATAAAGAACGAAATAAACAACGAGCGTTACTCGTGGGTCGCGGTCAATGTGTTAAGCTACACGACGCTACTCGAATATATCAGTCTGCTATCCAACAGTTTTCTTTTACAAGTGCGAAGCAAGCTCGCGCCTCCCTTTGGTCGCATTTTCGTGTATTGTATTTTGAGTAAATTGAATATATTTCGGACATAAAACGATCAAAATTACAATTGCCAGACATTGTGAGTGCTACTTCAGCCAATCGTTCTGGAGTCTAATTATGTGGAGAAACTTCATTCGATGGTTATAAGAAGAAAATGTCTTAGTATTAAAAATCATGAAGAAAAAATGATTGTGCTGTTGATGCTTAATCTAGTTGAACATTCTCTTGATCGAATATCTCCATATCCGACAGATTTAAAGCAAAACATTGTGAATTATTGTCAATAATCTGGGAAGGAGATGAAAACCGCTCAGCGAATTAGCTCAGAAACCGTCGTTTTCTTTCGTACCACTAATAAATTTGAATGTAAAGATCGAAAAAATTTATAATAACAATAGAAGTTTATTGAAACTACTTCAAGATGATCTCAGTCCACTGAACGTCTGAGAATGAATGAATGCATGAATGGACGCCTATTTTCGCTAATGGCCTACTTTTTCAAAGCAGAATTACATCAGAAAGGTACGGCGATTCTCAGGGTAAGCACACAGCAGTTTTAAAGAAAACGAGGAGGTTGAGGGATATAAAATTTCTTTCCTCTTACAACCGTTTAGTTGCTTTTAACCACTTTGGGAGTGGCTCAATACAGGTGTTCTTTCTCAGAAAGTATAAAGTCGTATTGATTCTAGATAATCGCTTATGAGCCAAGGTCGGACGCAGGCCATTCCGCCTTATTTACAGGATGCTAGAATGGCTCTACAAACGAACTGATATTAGTAGTAGTGCCCAGCTACATGTCGAACCACAACTGAAAAATATACAGAAGAAAAAATCTGCCTGAATCTCATATTGGCTTTTTCTCGTAGAAACAGCCATAAAAGCTGTACGAAAATAATAGAAAAAATTCAATTTTGTAATACGTAAAGTCCCTACAAGTTTTGAAATAATCCATGACTGGCGTTTAATAGCTTCGAGTACTGCTGTATATTGCTTTTAATGTATCAAGTTCTCGAAGAGAAATCATGATGTATGCATTTATTATGTACAATGAGACAAATCGTTCAATCCATATCTTGTAGCTAAACAATTTACATTTTCCGTCAAAAAGAAAGAGAGGAAGCAAGCAGAAGACTAGAAAGTGATTCTCAAATTTTCAGATTCGTTATAGATTTCGTAGAGAATCTGCAGAAAAACTGCAACAGATCACCGCAGAACCAGTGCAGATCTGCACTGCAGAAATAACCCTTGGGTCCTCATATTTTACTATTACACGTCTGAAACTGTATGGTTTACTTGTATTTTCGCTCGACTTCTGTATGTTCATGACGGAAGTGACTCTATTTCCATCCTTAAGCGATCGGTTGCTTTTTACCGACAGTTTGTGGGCAGATATTTTGCAAGGTAGGTAGCCGGTCCGCACTATTTATTGATGAGTAATTATGATGATAATAAATAAATAATAAAATATAAAATATAATAAATAATAAATAATTAATAAATAGACTTAAATTACAAAACAGAAACACATCTGCTCTAATAGTGTACCAAAATTTTCTTCTGGGACTAATCTGAGTGTTTTTTAGAGTGCAACAATCTTATTCATGAATTTTGCCTCGAGACAAGGAGATATCTAGATGTAGTAATCCACATAAACTCTGTTTCTTTATGTAGTTATGAACCATCGCTGAAACAACAGCGTATTCGTATGATCAACGTATAATTTAATCAATTAGTATATGAATAAAAATTGATTGTGACTTGTGGCTGCAATTAGAGAAAGTTCTTGAATGTGTTTTTCTTTTTCTTATATATTTTTTTATTTATACATCATTGAATCGATAAAAACAAAGTAAATAGTATTTAGTTTTGCAAACTAAAGACTCATTTCTGCCACTATCATAATGGAGAATTCTAACGATCAATCCATAACTAGTGATGATCAACGCCCGTCGACTCGATCTATTTTAATAAACAAAAATGATTAGAATCAGTATGAAAAATTGATTGAGAACAATCGTATTGGCTATGGACAATTGCTTATGAGTCAAGGTAATGTACACACTAATCTATATGTTTGTTTTGAGCAACTGTCTAAAATCGGCATACTTTTTATCTCAATATTTCGTTAACTGTAACAAGGATACTGAAATAACAATAAAAATCGATCAATATATATACTTTGTTATACATTATGCAACATATATGTTTCATATTACATTACGTGTATGTTATATTTAAACTTTTAGAAAGATTTTGACATTAATCATTCGCTTTGTTAAAAATAAATAGCTGGTTTATTTTGAAATTGCAATCGTATAATTTTTGGGCCTATCAATAGAAGAATATCGTTTGAGTATGATTATTAGTGATTATTATTATCGTATCGTAGAGAAAAGTGACTAAAAGTTTGTTCGTGTAGACATATTAGATGGAGAGATATCAACCGTGAGCTTACCATAAGTTTGTTCAGTTTTTTTTTTTACAACTTGTCATATTGTATTAGCCAGTGATAATAGGTAAAGAACTAACCGTTCAGTCTTCATTTTATTAAAATAACAAAGACGAAAGATAATGGTTACCTCTGTTATAAATGGACGAAAACATAAAGGTAAATATGGATTTTCAGATTTTTTTTAAAATTATAATTACATTCTTCTTATTACAAGCTCGTTTGTTACAGTTTTCATCTATGAACAATTTCTTTTTCTCTAAAAATAATAGTATAGTTTGTTTCATGAATAAATGAATCAACAACTTAGAATACTCAACATTAGACGCTCTCTTTTTGTAAAATAGTTCTATTACATATATGTGTGTTTAATACAGAACTTTTATACATAGTTAACGATGTTTATTCATTTTTTTATTATATATAAAACTTCTCTATCGAAAAGAAAAATTTTCGATACGATTTTAGAGACGAGAATGCCAAATATATTGTTTAGGTCATATAGAAATAAATAGAGATATATAAATAACTGTAAATGTTAAAGCACTTTTAGCTGTTTCAAAAAGTGTACACGAGAAAATTTTGTTTTACATCAGATTTACTTTCAGTGGGCGAAACTAAACCAAATGATCTGGTTGAATTAACTAGGATGAGTTTTTTCTATGGTCAATTTTACTTTTGTAAACAATTAGTCTTCGCATTTTTTCTAAAAAGTACTATTAATAGAATATCGAAAATTGCTGATTGTTGTCGAATGGAGGAAAAATGCTGAAATATAGAACTGTATTATTATCAATTAGTAAAAGGTTCGTTGATTCATCTAGATCAACTTTTACCTGATTAAGCATGAGTAAAATCTAATAAGACTAGAGTCACTACGGTTTTTATTTATTGAGGAATGATTTTACTTTAACATATTATTAGTTTACATAACGTTTCTTTCGATGTGTGAGTTACATTTTTCAAATGAAAAAAATTTACTATCCATAGCTATAAGTTCGATTTTAATTCCAATTTTATCTATTCTTTTCCATCTTAAAGGTAACGAAATTCGTTTCACGATTAACAGTCACAAATACGTCATTTTTTTTAGTACTATGGAATAATAAACTAGAAGAAGTCATCCCTTCACATCGTAGAATTTTTCATTCTTTTGAAAGTTTTTTTTTTTTCGTTTTATGATTCTTACTCATTTTATGATTTATATATCTATTATAAAAACAATCTATCTGCATGTTTTATATGTTATATATAAAGTTTGTTATTTATATACGAAAAAGGAAAAGGAAGAAAAAAATTTCAAAAACGTTTGAGGTCCTCAGTTAGAACGATAGATCTATAGTTGCTATTTAAAACAAGTGAAAAAGATCGACGAAACAACGTTTACATGATGGGTAGCAATGACTATTGAGAAAAAGTCCATAATCGAATACGATGCAACCAGTTGTATATACTATTGCACATAACTATCAAACACCAAGGGGTAAGAGAACTTTTCTCTGTTCAAAAAACAAATCATCAATTTTTAAAACTGAGCGTAAAAAACTTAGTTCAAACAGGGTGAACGTAGATTGACGACAAGCGCATGAGTTCTTTTTTCAAACGCATGCATACTACTTGGACCATATCTTACATAATTTTAGGTTTATTTTGTTGAAATAATGAAACCATGCTAATTTATGAATTAATTCTAAGTAGAAAACCGTAAATTTGATATGATACAATATTTGATTGATCTTCATCTTTTCTCGGAATATCTCTATCTCAAAATATACTTGACTGCTCACTAAACTTCATAACGTTGCGCTCTATTAGTGCAGATAAAAGTGGTTTTAGAACTTGCATTGTTTTAAGCCATTATCTAATATATACTGATAAAAAATATTGAGATTGACCATGTAAGTTGAATGGTAATGGAATAGTGAAATTAAATGCAAGAAAGAGTTTACTGCCGTTATTTATTCAGATAGCTTTACTAGAGAGATAATTGCTCATTTATTATACATAAAATTCTACAAGCGGGGCACTTTATATAATTTATTTCTATAAATTGACCTCTCAATTGAACGTGATTGTGTTAATACTGATTGAATTTAATAGTATATGTTCACTATTAATACTGTCTATTTTCTTTTCTCTTCTTTTTCCTATACTTCTTCTAAATCAGTTATAGCTACATAATTTCACCCTTGTCAAATAATCAACATATTCAACATAAATATTCTTGCTCATTTTTTTATTCGGTACTTTTTTATAAGCCCATAATGTTTACCTTGTTGATTTCAATTGTATACACACAATTAATTGTATAATACATTTCGCCTCTATTTAAAAAAAAAACAAGGATGATATTGACTTTATTATTTTTTTTTGCTGTTTTCTGTACGAAACATTAGTGCCTGTGAAAAACAAATCATTTAACGCTGGAGAGGATCTTTACGTTACCAACTGTCAATTTATTGTCTGCTGAAAGTTCGTGTTTTTCTTTCACCCAGTTATTTTATTTGGGCTACATGTATATTAATGATGATATGTAAGTGAAAGAATAGCGCAAGATTTGTTTGTGGCTTCTAATATTATTAAAAAGAGTTTGCACTCCCGTTTTTCTTCACTTGATGTCCCATGATGGAACATTTGATGATTCTCTTCAAAATCATCACAATTGCGTTTGAATCTTGAAAAGAAAGTCAACCGAAGATGGTGTGGCTTTGTGTCGTAAAAGAAGTTTGTAGGTTTGTAGGTTGTAGGTTTAGAAGTTTGTAGGTCGTAAAGAAGTTTGTAGGTCGTAAAGAAGTTTGTAGGTTCTAAAAACCACCATAAATACGAACCGATGTCTTTTTTTTCACACTGCAGTAGTCTGCCAAATTTTAAGCAAATGTACTTTGTGCTAATAGTATTTATAATTTAATGAATTATTATTGTTTCAGTTTCGAATCCTCCAACCTCTCAAACCCACGTACTTGAAGACTATCGTGAAGAGAATAAAAGAAATCTTTCCGGTAAGAATACGAATGTATCACGATCTGAATATAATCCTTTGTATGATACATTTCAATCAACAATATCTCCCAATTTCAATGGTGAACAATCATTGGATTTCGTCGAATCTAAACAAAGAAGATCACCTCCTAATTATCGATCATTAACACCACCACCACGTTTTATCAATCATTTTCATGATTCATTTAATAATACCAATGCATTGTCGCCTCAAAATCATCGCATATCGGATGATACTGATCATAGACTAATACGATTTAACGATCATCTACAGCAACAACAGGAACTACAACCACGATCATCTAAAACGAATGCAAAAAAAACTGGTGAGCATCATGTAGAGACAATAAACAGCTCGTTAAACTCACTGACTATATTTTATATTTTTCACTTACTAACAAAATAATTTAATTAGTTAATTAATGCTAAACTGACGAGAGAACCTCTCGAGGTGATAAAACGCTTTTTGATCGAAATCTAGTGGGTTATAGGTTATTGACCATGCTGATTCCGAATATGATTATAGGAGCTGCTCTTAACCGTACGAAGATCCGGTTTTCTGGAAAACCAGGTTTTCAGAAACTCTGAAAAACAACAAAAGCTTTTCTTAATTAGCCATGCTTGTAGCCCGCACATTTCTGATTAAAATGAGACATCTCCCAACTCAAAAAGCGTCTTATCACCTCGAGAGGTTCCCTCGTGAGTGACCAAGCGTGACGGAATTATTTTTTGCCTTCTCTGACTTATAACTGGCGAGCGGTGCAATCGCAACTTCTGAAGTTTTTATCACAGACAGAGAACTGTGAGTTCTATTCTTAAACAAAATTTCGTCCGATTTTTTTGACTCAAACAGGAATTATGAGGAAAATCGAGCCCGTGACAGAATTTCAAAAAAATTAAATTTGTTTTTGAACGTACGTAAAGTTTCTCATTTTTCTACGGAATAAAAACCCGTAGAAGAAAATGTTTTACTCATAAAAGTTATGTAGTTTTGGACTATGTTTCAGAAAATCTACTTGGCTTTCAAAATACGCAGTTAGATCAAATGAAAAAGTGAAAATACTCTTGGTGACGGAACTGCATCCGTTTTTTCAATGTTTCATTGCAGAAGGTTAAACTGAATGACGAAGTTACTTTAGAAAAAAATAATTTTAATAGGGATAGATAGTTTTACACGCGTTCTATTAAAAATAACTCTAAAATAAAGTTCCCGAAATTTTTTAACTAACTGAAAAACTAGTTTTCTAGAAATCTCTTTTAACTTGTGAAATCTCTCCAGAATGTCAGAACTTTGAAAAAAATGAGTAGTTTTGTAGAGAATTGAATTCTCTATCGAATATAGATTTAAAAATGTTTCAAGGAAATACCTAAGTCAGAAATTTTAAATTAGAAAATTTTAAAATTTCATTTCTGCATAAATTGAGGTTGATATTTGTAATCAGCGTCGTAAACTGCATCCATTGATGTGCTTTTGAACACGCTGGTAAACAAAAAAATGTTTGGAGTTTCATGAACCTTCTGATTTGAGAGGGACCGTTAGCTGGGCGCTGTAAAGCTTTTTAATCTTGTTCCTCCCTACTGCATACTAAAGTAAAAATTTCTATCTCATTTAACGGATGACCCAAAAATTTTTGTGCAATTTTGTATTAAGGTATCTTTTCCCATTTTTAAAAGAGTTTCAAGTCAATTGCACACAAGTATGGTTAGATGTTGTGGTTGAATAATACGAACACCTTAGGTGAGGTCGCGAAAAATAATATTGGGCAAGTCAATGGAAAAAAACCCAGTCCCCCAACATATTTTACACGAAATTGTGCATCATAATCCGGCTCACGTGATCATAAAAAATAGTGATTTATATGCATTCCTTAGACAGAATCCTACGCACACCCTATTTATTTGCCTAGACTAGAATATTAACTAGGGTCTTTATAATTTCGATTATGGTACGAAATAAATAGGAAATAAGTAAGATTTTATCTAGAGTTCATTTCTTCTTTTCAGAAATTTTTCTCTATTGTTTTGTCCTCTGATTTTATAAGCAAACTTTAGATATCAGAGCAAGTTTTTGCAATTAAAAACTACCGAAAACTCGCAAATAATACGTCAAAATAAAATTGTCGGTTCTAGATAAAGTAAAATGTCACATCTGTTAAACTTCAACCAACATGTAATGAGCCAGCTCGATTTGTGGAAAAATAAAAAAGTTTAAATTAGATAAAGTAAATAATGAAATATATAAATGATTAAAAAGGTCATCAGACTGGAATCTGCAAGTGTTGATATAATGGTGTGAAAAACAATAGATGTATTTTATTTTCTAATAGAAAGACTAGTAAAATTAAAACATGTTATAAAAGAGAATTTAAAAGTTTCTTTTAAAAAAACAGACACACAATCTTTCATTGAAGACTCGCTTTAAATAACGGTAATAAGAAAAAAGAAAGTTGTTGTAAATTTTGATATTTTTTTTAAATAAATTTTTTACTATATAAAACTTTTTAAAAAAAATTCGAGCGATAATATATAATTAATTGCTTAACTAATACAGTGAGTAGTTGTACCAACCAAAATGCTTGAATTAGTAGAGAAACAATAATAACAACATTTCTCTTTGAAAGTAAATACGCTATAGAAGCAAAAAATCGTTTTTCGATGAGCTAGAATGTCTATCACCAATATATGTTGCACCTAGATTCAGCTTAAGTATTTTCCAACAAAATTATCGCAATTACTAAGACCCTAAGCAGCATTAAGCGTCTTAGAGCTAACTTTTGTTTGCTGTAATTGTATAGGAGAAACGCTACGGATGCTTTTCCTGTTCTTTTCATGAGTACGATACCTTTGTTTATCCACTAAACATTATGGTAACGTACTGATGACCGATGCATGTGATCAATAATATTCTCTCTCTTCAACCTAATATGAAGAATTGTTACCTTTTCTTCAATGAGTATACAACAGCTAGTAACAGCAAAAATACTCTTTGTCATTCTATAGCTTCGTTCGTCCTGCTGATATAAGCTTTTTTACTGTGTAGCACGGATACATTTTCTCCTTGAACAATTTTGATAACAATTATATCTAAATTAAAATATGCGAAGAACAATTACATTAAGAAGATTGTTTTTGTTGCCGTTTTGGTGGTTTTTTCATCTATCTGTTGACTGCATGTCCAATAGACGTCAAATATACTATATGTATGTTGTAGAGAGAGTACTAAATCAATGAATCTATAAAATTTCAAAAAAATTGAAATTCGCCAATGAATCTATAGAATCATCAAGGCTCTTAGTTATCTTTGATTCATTCTGGCATTAACAAGAAAGAAGGCGGCCGAAGATAGAGTAAGAGTGCGAAGAGAAAGCGACATATAATCGAAAAACCGGACTTGGCTTATACTTTCCAAAAGGACGGAGGCCAATTTTTGGGCGAAATTTACTCTCGATGTTTTTAAGTTACTTTCAATTGGAGTTTGCAGAGAAAATGTTTGTGCACATTTTTCGATATAGCCGAGCCTTACAAACATCCTAGAAACTTGCACCCATGTTTGTTTTTGAAAACAAATGCAAAAGCCTGTGAAAACCGCTTTTTCCAAAGAAACTCTAGATATATGGTTAATTATGTCGCTAAAACTGAACATACCATCCGAAAATCACAAAATTATAGGTGTATTCACAATGCTTTCTAGAAAATCCTTTTTATAAAGAATAGAGTTTTGTAATTCTTTTTTCTAGATTTCTTATAAATAACATATACAATGCGCTAAATACTGTGCAGTCTGAAGTTTCAACTCGTTCTGACGTTTTTTGACCACATAGTGAATTTTTTAGTATTGGGTAAAAACAACCTGAAACCCCAATTTTCGTAAAACTCTGCTTTCACAGCCTTTTGCATTTGTTTTCAAAACAAACATGTTGAAAGATTCAGCCGTGTCGATCAGCTACGTTCCATTCGATTTCAAGGCTATTCGAAATCACCCGGTACGAGTCCTGGGAAGTTTATACCGGTTAGGTGCAGTGTCATAGGTGGTGCATAGGGAAAATCGAGTATTAAATTTACAAAAGACGCCGCCAGGCTCCGTTAAGTTGCCTATTAATACACATTGTAGAGCTTTTGACGCTCAATCTTTCTATACTAAACATGCGTTGGATCCACTTTTACTTATAGGAAAAAAGATCAAAACGATTATACAGTCTTCGACTACAGATACCAGTTGATCAAAAAACATTTTTTTCTCTGTGTTCAACTGTTTACTAAGGATAATTCATATACTACCTTGTACACTTTTTCACTGCTGTTTTTCTCTACCAAGCTTTATCCTATATCTAGTTTAGATCTTGGAAAAAATCACATTTTCGGAAACCTTAATGTATTTGACACACTGTCACAAAAATCACAATAAAAAATTTTCTAGGAGGTTTCTAAGGCTCGGCTACACTGAGAAATGTGTACAAACACCTTCTCTACAAACTCCGATTGAAAGTAACTTAATAACATCCGGAGCAGATTCCACTTAAACTTGGCTCCGTCCTTTATGTAGCAAGGAGATATTTAGTTCAGGTACAGTTTTTACGTGTCAATTGACAGTTTGAAACAACTTCGTAAGTGGATTAGTTTGTAAAATTAATTATTTAGCGAATATAGTTTCCGATTACATGTCGCTTTCCCTTCTCACTTCCACTTTATCCTAGCCTGCAAAGTGTACAATTTTTGCTTACGATGTGCATATATGTTAAATCGATCTCATAAAAGTTTAAAATATAATTTTTATAGATTTTCTAACGCGACAGTTGAAATTATTGTTGGATGTCTTCTTCGAACACTTCAAGAAACCTAGGTTTTTTCAAAAACCCTTTTCTAATTAACACTTTCAATTATTTAGGAGAAAAAGATCGATGTCGAGGAACGGAGAAAAAATTACGGCAAGGAAAAGTTCATTTCATGCGGGTATAACTAAAAAAATACAAAAATAAATTTTTTCTGAAAAATTGTTTGAGAAGGACTTAAAGCAGGAAATTGAGAAAATGTTTTCCGAAGAAAATAATAAATAATACAACATTTGATGCACTTTGGGACAACTGTTCCCAACATGTCATTTTTATTGAGAAAAAACATGTATTTAATTGAGAAAAATGAATTTTACGCTAAAAATCGTGGGTTTTTTAAAAAGTTCTCTAAAATCTCAGAAGAATTTGCGCATTTTTTGCTCTCAAATCATAAATGTACTATTGGTAGAAGAAGATTTCTGGAAAGCCTGTGGTCCGGCAGAAGGATGAAAACACACTAAGCTCAAAGCATACTTTCGGGAAGTTTTGTCATCATGGAAAACATCGATTTTCTCAGCCATCTTAAGTTCAAAAATTATAAATTTTTTTCAAATAATCCACAGTTCACGCGTGAATTTTCTCGTTAGCAAAACAAACATTTCACTCAGAGAAAAAATATGCTATTGATAGGTACGGTGATTTCGGACCTATTTTTCGCAACTGAGTTTTCTCTCTCGGTACCCTAATATTGAAAAACGTTTTTGTTGGACAGGGACAACTAGTCCTTGGCCTGAAGATTATTCCCATTGTTTTAAATCAAAAAATATACACTTTTATTTTGGGACTAAATGCCCGCATCATTGTTCACGGTGGCTCGTGTCTCCTCCTTACCTCAGAATGACTAAGAGGCAACATAAAGTCCTACAACTGATGGCAAAATCATGTTTTTATCAATTCTTCACTTTCTCCGATCGTCTTGAGGAATTTACATAATGGTCGACTTTTTAGAAGTTCTGTACAAACTCCGTCAATTCTGCATTTTCTCCACAACGTATACATGCTTCTCTAGTAACGAACAAAGTAGTAGTTTGTCAGACTACCTTATTAAATATTACTCTTGTTCACAGTCTGAATTAAAACTATAATATTCATTTGTATTTCTGTCAAAATGTCTAGCTATGCTATAATATTTTCCAAACTTTTTTTTAGTAAAAAAAGAAACTTAAAAAAAAGAAATCATCTATGAAAATATAAGCGAGTGGGAAGAAAAAAAGAATGGGCCTGTATCTATGTAATCATAAAAGATGTTAATGAAGAAAGAAAGTTTTCTACTTTAGTGCTATAAAATCTTCAAAATATGTAATGTAAAAATGTTGTGAAAATATAATCAAACTAAGAATCTTTCCTCCTTATACGGTTTGTTTTAAATTTCTTGCAGTCAACATGCAAGCTATAGAAAAACATTTTTTAATAAATTGAAAGTTTGTATAAAGCAGAGCTATAAAAAAAAAACTACGTGATTGAGGTAAGCTTTAGTACAGCATTAGTTAAAAAACATGACTATCATAATACCGGCCAAATTTCTGTTTGTTATAAATTCTATCTACGGAAAACAATTAACCTTTCTTAATCTTCATTCATTTTAATTCATATTCTATTTAAGAATAAAAAACACATTTAGTTCATTCATTTTTTTTATGCAAAATGCACGTAGCAAAGCAGCGTAAAAGATTTTGTGCACGATTCTATTGCTTTGCTTAAACTCAATCGAACAAAAACTCTTAGATTGTTCATTTATTTTTATTTCTCATTTTAGAACCTACTAACAGCACTGCTGCTAGTGAAGTTGAATTACTTATGGACAGAGATGGAATGGGAGGTAATGAAGAAATACCAAAAACCGGTCGCCGAACAAGACGAAGATTGTTGAATAATTTACTTGATTTTATTGCTATCGTGTCTAGTAAGGATGTTTAGTACTAGTGTATTTTTTAGATGTTGTAAAGAGAAAGCAAATGCTTTTATAAATCATGCGTGAATCATGTGTTTTTTATTTTAGCGGCTCTTATATTTGGTATAATTTATTTACTTGTAAAACCCGTCCAACGAGGATTTTACTGCGATGATAAATCAATCATGTATCCATTCCGAGATGATACAATTCCAATGTGGATGCTAGGTATTTATGGTGGAATATGTCCTGTAATTATTGTACGTAGAATATAAATACTTGAGATAATAGCTGAGCATTTCTTTACTTGTTTAGTTTTTCATTGTTGAAATATGGGTGGTTCGACCGTTTCATTGTCGTCGTGGATCTTCTAATCAAAGTTTGAAACAACGTCAAGTTGATTATGTCAAAGCCATATTTCACACCGTCTTTTTATTTGGCCTTGGAATAGCTGTATGTTTTCTTATTACAGAAGTTGGAAAACGTAGGTTGAATCATTAGCAACAATACTAACCTATCTACTAGAAGATATTGATCTTTTTCTCAGGTACAATTGGACGTTTAAGACCATATTATTTGACGGTATGTAATCCAACATGGTCAGCAATTACTTGTTCAAAAAATGTGACAACAGCCAGCGGTGCGATGCTAATTCCTCAGTATGTAAAACAACATTTCTACTCTATACACATCAGTCTCTTTTCTGTTTTTTTAGATACATCTGGGATCATCAATGTAATCCAAATGTATCATTATCTATACTTCAAGAAGCTCGTCTGTCATTTCCTAGTGGACATTCTAGTTTTGCTACCTTTTCTTTTATTTTCTTATTTGTAAGATTTTTTTATTGATATCTACAGATAAAACGAATACATTTCTTATTTCTATTTCAGGTCTATTTTGAAGCACGACTCGTTTGTCCTGATATACAATTTTTGAAACCATTTTTACAATGTTTATGTGTCGCTATTGCATTTTTCACATGTTTGTCAAGAGTAACGGATAACAAACATCACCCAACAGATGTAATTGGAGGAGCCATCATTGGATTTAGTATTGCAATTTTTACAGTAAGTAATTTTTTTGAATATAAAGAATTTTAACTTGCAAACTTTCTGTCATATAGGCTGTAAGAGTTGGTACTTATTTATGGTCACTCTCGGTTTATTGCGAAACAAATGAAGAAACAGAAAAAGATCAATTACCAAAAGAAAAGCGTATACCTGCACCAGAATTAGATACAGAGAATAAAAAAAGTGAAAATCCAAACATTTCAGAGGTACAATATCATACAAAGGACACAACGGCAACGAATCGAAATGTAAACCGTGGCAATTATGATAATGTTAAACCATTTTCATCAAAAAATCATGTTACACCATACACGCCTTTTCCAACCAGCGGAGGTGGAAACAAAATTTCGCATAAAGCGTTTGATGAAGCGCCTGTATGATTATGACGAATAACGACGACTGTAGCTTGGTGTATTATTCTTTGAGTTTACTGTGCAACTGAAATTTAGAGATTACCAGTCTGAATCAAATGTGTTACTTTCTCATTTTGTCAGATAAACGTGTATAATACAGGTTATGAAATACTTTAGGTTAACGTACTGAAAAGATTGTAATATAGACTAAAAAAATTCACATTTTTAACTCATATCATTATTTTTTGTTGTTTATTAGTTCTGATATATTACTTTCTCATTTAGGAGTAAAAGCAAATTATCAAACTATCATGCTGGTATTAAAGACCTAGTCGAGAAGCTTCTGTCACTCTCATTTGCATTTGTATCTGTTTTTCTTGTTACTGTTGCCTGTTGTATTTTCATATTGTCTTGCTTATTTTTCTATATTCTTCGCTCTATACACTTATAAAGAAGCTTTATATTTAAGTTTAATTGTAACTTTATAATAAGTATTATTTTTTCTTTTGTCATCTCTAATGCTCTTGTATGACACAAATAATAATAATAGCAATAATAGTCAAAAATGTGCAGAGTGAATAATATGAAATTGGCATTGAAATGGACGAAAACAATGTTGTATGTAATAGTGGTAATCTTGCAAGGAAAAGCAGTCATACATACAACCTCAATCGTTCGATAATGATGGGAATAATTTGCTAAACTTCCGAATCTAGTCGAAAGCATTTAATCTAATTTTTATTACAGAATGTACATAGTTAAACGAGAATTCTAAAACTTTATTCATGCAATAAACGAAAAAATAACCAATGGAAAAAAGTAGAACTTCGTTAATAATGCATAAAAAAATTTCATAATAAATATAAATAATCACAGTTTTAACGATCAACAGCATATTAAAAACAAGCATTCGCATACACAAACTAGAGATGTATATAGTGAGGGTTTTCTGATTCCTTGTTCTACTTCACAATAATTTTTCAAGCCCTGTCCGATAGCTCAGGATCATTTTTTAACAATATACTTCAGAACTGAACCAGTATGGTAACTAGAATGGAAAGAACCTCTAACGAAGCAACTTGTATTGTACTAAGAATATGAACCTAAAATTCTTTTGTTCACTGCGCCTAATAAATTTAGATTTATTGCAATTAAATTTTTGTTTAATATTAGTCCAGTCACCTATTTTGTATAAAGATCAATAGAAAGAATAAATGGTACACTGATAATGAATTACAATGCCATTTGACTACGAGATTGCTCAGAACTCAAATCAAAATTGGCAAAGCACAAGTTAGACAAGGATAACAATCGAATCTTTTAAAAGAATAGGTTACGCTCTCAACTCACCGTACCATCATCGTTCCAATATCATAAGGTAGGACTAAACAATTCTGATTGTCAGCAATCCCATTGTATAATTATGTATACACTATCATATAAATCATCGATATAGTCCAGTTTTGCTAAAGACTGCATGAATCGGCAATACGGTACAATTTCAAGTTACTTTTAAAAATTCTTAATTAGTAAACCAACTACATGAACAGCACAGCTGTGAGTCCTAGTGCTATTGAGAGTGTGGGCTTTGGAATTATACACAGAAACATTATTCAAATTCTCAAAATAAAAATTATCGAGTATTGGGCAATCCTACCTAGGTAACCCAATCTAATACCCGATATACCTAGATACAAGTAAAAAGACAGTATTGAGTGTTGAACAATTCAAGCTAGTTAACTAAATAAGGTAGTCGATATATCTAAATAATCCAATATCTTATTCGATTCTAGATATTAGATTTATCACATATCCAAGTAAGAAATCTGGTGAAGTATCTAGATATTTTGTTGTGGTATTGGGCAATCCTACTATAAAATATCTAGGAACAGGTGTCACGTTTATTGGGTTATCTAGATATATTGGGCATGGTTACTGCTCAATACCTCAATAAAATATCCAGATATTTCCATACACGATGGATGTTTTGCTTGGGAAAACACATACCGGAGTTAGTTCAAGGAGCATAAAATGCAATTACACATTGAATTCCTGGGAATGCGATAGGTGGGGTACATTAACACTATTCAAAATATTTATTAGCAAACAATTTCAAGTCCAGACAGGGAAAGCAGAGATTAATAGACAATTTCAAGCGCTACTAGAATATATTATTATTTTTCTAAAGTCTATTTGTATCTTCATAATACATTCAAAAACATGATTCTGATATATTATTCAGTTCAAAAACACGAGTGAAACTATTTTTTTCCAGAGGAATATAAGAACAAGCAGTTTTTCCGGAATATTTTGACTCTTGAAACTTTATGTACACTCATTTTTTTCCTGCTTAGCACTAGACAAATATAATTGGATAATGAATATACAAAAGTATCTCTGTTTACTCAGTCATAACTCAATGCGCACCAATGTTTATTGTTTTTTGAAATATTTTTGAAAAAAAATTCTCAGATCCAGAATAATTAATTTTTTTATGAATGCATAAGACTGTGCGATAGTTTCTCTCTACAACATGAGATATGGTGTAGTTCATATACCAATTTGATAAAACAAAGACAAGAAAAGTAGTGCCCGATCCCAACCAATTCTCTTTTGTTAAGAAGAAGTTTGTAACATTAATCTAAGCGTAACATCAGATTCTCAAATGACTTGTTTTATAGAGAGAAGCCTTGTCTACAATCTTGGAGCGTAGATAATATTTAGTAATACATGGCTTAACAGATACAATTCTTTGTCCGGATGCACTGAAAAAACAATTCTACAATAGATGCATCTTTGATCAAATAAACAATTCGGCAATAGGTATCTTGTATTTTGCATAGAAAATAGTCATTCAGAATAGACAGACACTGAATTCAAGTCATTTGACTTCTCGAATTTTTTAATCAGTTTTTTTAAACAAACCATTTAAGTTTTTGATTTAAAGTTAGCTCTGTTTTATGAAATAAAATTATCCATTAAAAGTAATAAAAAATAGATAAAATTAAATGAAGAAATTTTTGGAAACAGTACAATTGAAAGATGGTGCTGAGAAACAAAATTTGATTTAACATAAATATTGTCACACCATGAACTATATATACAATTCATCCAAATTCAATTTAAGCCAAATTTACGACAAATTGTTAATAAGAAAATTGTTGTTTTTCTCTAAATTTAGGATGTGAAACCATAAATCAATTTCCTTCAAATTCATTTGTTCGACTTTCAACGATAAAAAATCGTCATTCAGTTCATATCAGTCGAAAAACAGAGTATAGTAAATATTGAAATAGTTACATGTTTGAAAAAAATGGTATTAGTACATTAAAATGGACGGAAAACTGTTATTTTCGATATAAAACAAATAGATCTTATTTACACATACTACACCACACTACAAACATAAAAGCAAAACTTTAATAAGAAAGAAAAATGATTCTCTTGATATTGAAAAAATACAAACGTAATTTTGTTCAGTCAGTCTGCAGAAAAGCCGAAAAACCATTCTTTATCAAAGATATTGCTGAGAGAAAAATAATATTCTCAAATGAAAAACACTGAAGTTTATTGCGATCAGTGTTGAGATGAGTAAGAAGAAATATAAAAAAAGATTTAGAATGGTTTGTTGATTACTCAAAACTCTACACCATATTTGTCAAAATTTCTTACAATAACATGTAGACGTAAATGTACTTTTCCCATTGATATTGTTCTTAATTTATACAATTCGGAGCTAGATGATACAAGATCTGGATTCTAAAAGAGAAAAAAGACATTCCACGTAATGAAATCTTCGTAGATAGCATCAATCAACGTTATCTTGGAAAATCATTTGATAGAACAATAAGCGATCTATTAGCTCTTTAAATATGTGAAACTGAATGTGTGACTAAATAAATCGTGATGGTATGTGTATGAAAAAGTAGTCCATCGCATGAATCGAAGCAGTACACTATTCTTATTTTCATTCATTTTTCGTTGGAAACTTTTATTATTCTCTCTCGTACAGTGTAGATTTTAGTTTAGCATTGAAATAAATACCAATAAACGTACCTTTAACTGAGAACTTCCACCAATAAATTGTGTTTTCAATTCTTCTGCCAGACTACCTTTTGGTCGCCAAGTAACGACGTCTAATTCATGGTGACCAGGCGATACTGGAATATGACAAAATCCATAACTATACAATTCATTACGACCATAGGAATCTTGATGCCATACTTGTAGCTAAAGTAAGAAAAAGTGAACTGAAAGATCGTACTCGTATCATTCCCATGTGCCAGACGTACATGAATTTTTGGCCAGCCTACAAGAAAAGAAAATTAAAATCAAACTTAGTGAAGTTAAACACAGTTTTCATACCTTGAAGACCTTTTGTAGCAAAATGGAGATCGATTGGATGACACCAATACGCTGTTGGTTCATGTGATGGTGAATCTACCTGAGTCTGTCCTTCTTGATCTCCTTGAAGTACACGCCATGCACTACCAGCATGTATTTTCCACTTGCAAAATAAACTTTCATCTGGAAAGCCACTACCTCCCAATATTGAACCGATCACGTGTACTTCTGTCATTGACACAATCTAATAATATATCTAAAAAGAATACCGTCTTCTCAGACTAATATCACTAGGGGAAAACAGAAAACTACGGCAGAAATATTACAGATAATTATTTGAGTTCCTACCAAAGTTAAGAAGAGAGCACTAAAAGTTCAAATTCTGATAAATGTGTATTCTACTTCTACAACCGTATTAGGAATTTGCTATTCTTTTTATCTCTTCAGTTGCATGAGATGGCACCCAAAATCGTTTTCACATTTTTTTAAAACTTTATGTGCTTTCTTTCAGTTCCTTTTTTATTCGTCGATAAGAAGAACACGTTGCTAGGTGATTAGAACCATGGCAAATTAACCTGGCTGCCTCTTTGGAGGTCAGTTTTAACACTAACGCTCTTTCTGTTAATAATTCCATTTATGGTTTAGCCGAGAGGAAAGTGGGCTTAATAGTGATCTTCTGCATTCAAAGCAAATTTAGTACACAGTAGCACTATCAACGTGAGAAAATAGCCTTAAAGCACTTCCAATCCGCTTGAAATTTCATCCGATGGTTTGTCCATCAAACTCGTTGGAATTTCCATTAGTATCTAATAATCTCACGGATAATAAGATTACCAATTAATTAATTTCTAGAGAGTTCTGCGACTGTTTTTTGCAGCTTGGGTTTGAACTGCAGAACAAGTATTTTTCGAAAATGACATTTTTTCCTTTAGTTAAATATATCTTCAGATGATATGTGTGTGACTGTGCACTGAATGTTGTGTTCTATTGATATATAAAAAGAAAAGAAAAGCGACGAGTACCTCACACTACCATAGATTCACATGCAATTACAGGTGTTAGCCGCGACGCTGTCGCCGCCGCCGTCGAAAAAAAATGTTGAAATTTCACGCCGTCGCAGCCATAGACAGAATTTGTTTTTGAAGTTTTCCGCCGCCGCCGTTGATCCGAAACCTTTTTCAAAACTTCTTCAAAGAAAACTTATCGAAAATTATAACTTTTTTTAAAACTTTCACGCCGCCGCTGCCAAAGATAGAAAATGTTTCTTTAGTTTTTCGCCCCTGCCGCTGATAAAGTTTTCAATTTGACACGTCGCTGCCGATAAAGTAATCGGCTAACACCTCTACATGCAATGTGCGTCTGCACTCATACGGTTTTAGAGCTCTACCATTTAGCGTATCTTTATCTTTTTCTCGATGTCGTATGCAGATTATGCTTTCCTTTCTGTCTCCTGTAGAAAAAGATAAAGATACACTAAATGGTAGAGCTCTATTATTTACAAGAACAAGAAAATTAAAAAGCTGAAAAATATGTAAAAAGAGAAGGAACATGTCAAGATAGATGTTTTAAGAGACGATTCGCGACAGGACCAGGCATGCATAAATTCACATGTTTTATTAAATAACGTACGTCGTATACATCGTACGTAGTATTAGACTGATAATAATAACACAAACACTCTACAGTTAACGGTGAACGGTATTGTGATGCCGCTTATACTACTACTACTCGAATTATTTTCTAATAACATAACTGCATTATTAATATAGGAAATTTTAACTGTATCAAGAGTGCTCTTCGTTAAGCATAACAGAAGGACGATGGTTACACATAAAAGTACAAGGATGAATTAAAGTGCTTTTCAATTAAAGTGTTTTCTGTAGAACTGCGCTCTGGTTTTCTTATTAAAAATTTCAAAGAAAGAGAATAATCGAAATCAAACGATAAAAAGTAAACTGTAATAAAAATTTTATTTATTTATTTATTTACCTTTCTTCATTTGAGTTGTGTGAATCTCCAATTTTTTTTTGTTTTTTCTTTGCCTGTAAAAAACTTTTATAATTCACAGATAAATTATTAATATTCAATAGAGTAGAATGCAGGATTGCCAAGTGCAAAGTTCGCAGTTCGGAAAAAAATTCATTAAAATCGGAAAAGTCGGAAAAAAATGGTATGGAAAATCGGAAGAAGCATTTTTTCAGAATACCTTAACAAGGTAAAGATATCAGGCTTTTTCTTCTACAACAACACATATTCGTTTTTTCATCAGAAAAAACACACTTAATAATAGTTAAAGAAAATAAATCCGAAGGAACTGAACTTACTTTTTGTTTTGTTTTTCATAAATTCTTGATGTTTTACAGTGTCTACATGTTTATCTAGATCGTTTTTGCCCCCACCATAAAGCGCTAGATAAGCTAAATCCTTTTATGTACATCTATCCTGCTTAGACATGAGCGGACCATCCCGGTTCCGACGGGACTGGGAGCGGAATTACAAACTTTTTTTCCGGGACCAACACTAGAACTAAGATGTATTTCGACAGTTGCATAAAATCAGCTGAAACTTGGCCTGTTCTCTGCACTAAAATAGAAACGTTGTGGAAAATCGTCAGGAAGTCTTACAGTTATTTCCTAGGTATTGAACATCAAATCTACGTCATGCAAACTTTATTAATAAAGTGTTTTCTCCGGGACCGGAACTGGGACGAAAATGTCTTTTTTAACGAAACCGGCGCCGGGACTGAAAAAAGTTTCCGGGACCGAGACCGGGACGGGATCAAGACAACTTTACGGGATCGGGACTGAAAAACCTTGGTCTCGCCCATGTTTATTCCTGCTGTCTTTTTATTTATGATACTTTCTTGACTGTATGATAAATATCTGTCACAAAAAACAATTCAAATTATTTTTAAGATTTGTAGATTGAATAAATTCGTGTGATCTTTTATGATAAAATATCTAAACGACAATGTATTAGGTTGAAAAGAGAATGTTTCTAATTTTGTCGAGAATATAATTATTTATAATGTAATTATTCTTGTGTGTATTTGTTTAACGCTAAGGGTTATGTTTACCATGTTACCTATTGAAATTCTTAAGTTTTTCAACATTTTAGTATAGAATACTGGTAAACGCTATGTTTGAACTTGTATGTAGTAAGCTAATTAAATGACGTGCAACATGTAGCCCAAGATGATGACCATATTTCGATGTTCTTTACCACCTTTAGTATGAATGCTAAATAATCTTCCCCCCTCCCAGAATAGAAGATCATGGCCTTTTATTTTGGTTTCACACATTGCGCTTTTTTTTGGTAACAAACTGTCCAACCCCTATAGGGCGTTTTTCAAAAATTTTCGCTCCAGACTGATCTCTCTAGTATAGGGTGGCCTTCTATTTGGCGGGGGGGGGGGGGGGGGGCAAAATATGGGGGGTTTGTTTGGGGAGGGGGGTGGGGGTTTTTTTTTAAATATAGATATTGTTTTAGGGGGCCCCCCGAATGGCGC